CTTTAACTAGGTTTCAAGAATCTTTGTGAAAATGTCTTACGCCTCAACCCTAATTCAAACTAAAATCTTTATTAAAGTCTTTCATTAGACAAAGCTTATTCATTCACCTGATCATTATAATTCAACTTATTATTTTTTTTTTATTACGGTAGAGAACGTTTACGTTCTCAATCCCCTTTTAAAAGATATTATGTGCTCTAGGAGACGTTTAATAGTTATTATATGGCGTGGCGTACTTGCGTAAGTTACTCCAAAATGAACGTGTTGATTTGTCAAACTCAAACAGTATTTAGAATTTTAAATAATAACTTAAAACATCAATAGAAATAGATTAAAGTACAACTCATGTAACATTTATTCCCAATTAGCGACCCGCGCCGGCACGGGTGTAATGTATTATACATATGTATAAACCTTCCTCCTTAATCACTCTATCTAGTAATATATCTAGCACCCTTAATATTTAGGGCGATGAAAAATAGATGTTATCCGATTCTCTACCCTGACCGATATGCACACAAAATTTCAAATCTGTCGAGACGTTTCGAAGGAGTTCAAATACAAACACAGTGACACGAATTTTATATATTAGATAGCTTTCGGAACACAAAGTTTGCTTTTAAAATTGCGTTTACGGAGAATATTATAATAAGAATATTCCACTTGTCCTGTCAAGATCTGTGCCGAACATAGCCTTTTTTATCTGCATGGGGGAAATGCGTACTAGGATGGTTTTTTTATGGAGAAAAGGGGCAAACGAAGCTCACCTGGTGGTAAATAATTACCGCCGTCCATGAATACCTGCATCACCCAAGGGCTAACAAATGCGTTACCGGCCTTTTAGGTTTATCCTTACTCAAACGGTTTCCACCCAGGGTGCAAGAGCAGTCTCAAATATCACGGGAATTTTGTCGCATCTGCGGACCCGGTCTTTTGGTCCGTTTACACCTTCCTCGGTCGTGGAGAGTAGGGAGATTGGCCCCACCACTATTACACCAGCGTACCAGGACCACCAAGTTACGGAGGGTAGGGGGCGTGGACAAAAGCAATATAGACACTCATTTTCCCTCGTTTCCAGAGGGCAAGCTCCCTGCTTCTCATCCAACCGGATTAGCGCCTTGTCATGGCGGAGGGACTTAGTAGCCCGTGGATTGGTCTTCTATGGTGAATTCAAGAGCAATCCACATTGAGCCCTCCTGGGTGTTAAGCCGACCCGAGAGGGTCGCTCGGAGTGAGCAAATTGAGTCCACGCTGGATGCGTTCAGAGGTGTGTGGAGGATAGAGATCCGAAGCTTAATCTGGTGACTAGCGGAACCATAGACGTTGGGATCCGGGAGGCTGACTGCTTGTTAACACTGGCTGTCTTGGCTTCCATGGTCTATGGGAAATTGAAATGGGGGAGTCAAATACCCGTAAAAATCGGACCGTGAAGGAAAGCACGCTTTATGATCCATCGCCACCTTACTTGGAGAGGGGCTGCTGAGGCGGCTAGTCTTGGTGGGGATAGGGAATTATGCGAAAGCGTTCCCGTTACACCGCCAAAATGCACCATGGGTGAAATATCCTTAGGCTTAGTCGGTGCGACGCCGTTGGTTTCGGCATCGACGTTAGTTGGTTCGATTCCCACACGGAATAAGTATTTGTGTGACCCACGGCTAATTGTTTCGGGTCTGAGCGTTTGATTCCCAAGGAGGGTTGACGTCAGGCCGGTAAAAATCATAGCCAAAACCGCTTACAACACGATACAAAAGTTGTGCCGATTCCACCTAGGTAGGATAAAATCTCGTAATGCCACCATTGTGGTGGAGACCGAGACTCCGCACAACATACTCTTGTAGAGTGCCCCGCTTGGGAGTCGGAGCGTCGGATCCTGGTCTAAAACATCGGGCAGAACCTTTCTCCACCAGTTGCAGTGGCGGCTGCGCTAGTGGAGAAATTCGCTTGGATGGCACTGGTCTCCATTTGCGAAGCTGTTATGCTCCAGAAGGATACGACTGAATCGACCCCGCTCGGAGAGGAAGACGCCGGGTCGGCAGAAATGGACGAGCCACCCCGTCAACCCTGTAGGCTCGGGCTCATAGAATAGAGCTAAGATATCCCCTGTCGTAAAAGGCGACTAAAAGGGAACACGGATTGGCCGCAGCTCGAAGTGGTCTCGTGCTGCAAGACGGCGAGGGAATCGGGGAAGTTTTGTCCGTCTCCGAGGCGTGCTCACGCGCAGTACTGAGTAGGAGATCCCGGAGTCCCTCCAAACGTGCCATCGAGGGGGTTTTAGTGGGTACAAACCCCACATATCCATGTTATATGACAGGGTATCTTTTGTATATTTCCCCTCAATACCAAACAAACGTGTGATAAGAACTGAAAGACTTTTTATAAAACAAAAGTATTTATTATTTTGATTAATGCATAAGAAAATATTGTCTCTGCTTTATGTCTCCTACCGATTTTCCGAATAGGGGTAAACTATAAGAAAGGGGGATCAATTATTCATGAGTTCCGTTACTTGGAAATCGTAGCGAGGGTCCGATAAAGACTTGCTTGAAATAAATTTTATAAACTAGTTTCTTCGCGACTATAATGAGTACAAGGAACAAAGTTGCATCGCAGATTGTTGCTTGATGCAAAAGTTGTCGCCTGGAAACAATCTGCGATGAAATTTTAAGCGTTTCTGGAGCGTCCTCGAAGAAATTACTTCGACCGACAATGAAACGCTTTGAATCACTTGCTTAGTATTTTAGGTTAAAAGTCTGTCTTTAATTTTGTTTCGTGGAAATTTTCTCGCCAAATATAACACAGTTTTTACAAAATTTATAAATAGTTTTAATCAATTTTAATCACCAAAATCGTTACGTTGATCGTTACGGTCCATATTTTTGAAACCCTAAACAATTCACTTAGAAAATGTGTGAAGCTGCAAAGGGTATCATATAGGCTTAGCATTAATATAAGTTGGCAGACAAAAAACCTTAGAAATGTTCGTATTCTTATTAATACATTAAAAAAAAACATTTGTGTATGTCCTTAGGTAGAAGATAAGTTATGATTCAAGTAAGAAGTTATGATTCTATGGAATGACATTATACAAATGCGAAGTAGATATGACACTGGTGCACTGTAACGCAGGCGGTCAAATTACGTCAATTGGTGTATTGCAATTATATACACTGCTATCTCTTTCCATATTAATGATACGTTCTATATCTTATTATTACACGCCCCGCAGTATGGGCATGCAGTTATCTTTCGTTTTGAATATTTTGAGGTTTAGACAAATTTAACACATTTGCAAGAGCAGATTTATCAATTTACTTCATTTCACCGAGTAATTTCATGGTGTTAATTATTATTATTGTTTTAAAATTTATTTTTCCCATTTTTTTCCACTTTACGTCTTGACTTAATTTATTAATTACAGTCGTTAATATATCGATGTTTCTTTATCGCAATTATCCACGGTGGGAATCGGAATATTCGTCATCAATGTGTTGTGGTTTACATGAAAAATGTGTCATAAACATTACAGCGTTTTATATATTGTGTTTAAAGATATAATAAATACACTTATCTGATTTATGGTGTTTAATATCACCTCCTTGCTCCCTCACGAGTCTGGAGGTTTAATTGCTCTTTTCTATTCTCGGATATTAAAACCTGACGGAGCGTTAAGCTCGGATGTAATTTTAATATGTTCTTTGTAGTGAAAAGTTAGTTCTCTAGGCATGTTCGGTACTTTTGGGATTGGGATAAAGCACAGAACTCGCGTGCCTATCATCCAATTCATTAAATTTTATAAACGTATTTACATTTTTTTTGATTCACAGATAATAATCATTATTTTTTCATGTGAAATAGCGCAATATATAAATAAATTACTATACTGATACGTAGATTAACATAATTTGAAATAAAATATGGCCAATTTTTTGCAGCTAAAAAGTTTTCACTTCTTACGTGCAACTCAACAAAGGTTTTGGAATTCCAGTCGGAATAAATACAACAATATTAAAATTAAAACAATTATTGTCATTATTAAATCAAACTGTGTTAATTCAACGTTAAAAACATATATATTTCTTTATAATTCATTTGCAGAAACTCGAATCTGAAAACACCAGAGATAATTCTTCACGCGAATAGTGTTTCAACGGTTTAAATGCGCTGAAAAGAGTGATTAATTCTATTTGGTTTCTTTTCAACGGAAAAGATGAAGAATTTCAACGAATTTCGTCGTTTAACCTCAAAATATTTAAAGGAAAGCGTAATCACGACTGGATTTAATTCGTAAGCTTTCTAAATGTTATCATAGGTTTTTGGATAGTCACTGAAATCGTTAATATGTCTATTTCTTTTCCTTTTTTAATTACACAAGTTAAAAAAGTAATTCTTTTCAATGTATTATTTAATAATTTGTAATATTTAAATGTTTGATTTGATTAAGATAAGTCATTTGGTGTTGATGATTGTTTGTAGGTTGTGTTCAATTTGATGATTTTTTTATTGTAAATAACCCAATAAAAGTTATTAGTATTTTTTAATTCACTTTTTGCTAGTAGGATAATAAGCATAATAACAATAACTTTTAAATGCCATAGAAGTTTTGAGATAAGATGAGACAAAATAACTCTGTTGTGACATAATTTTTTTTATAAATTATTTAAGTGTATACAGAAAAGTGTTTAAGTATAAAATTAGCAGAACCCAGTGAGGCTGCAAGTGCAGAGCAAGAGTCATTTCCACACATCCTTGTCTTCAATGTATTTATTCCTCGAAACTATAATAGGGCCTTTCCATTAAGGCACTACTTTTTTAGGTTTAAAATTATTTATACTTCATTGTTTGTGGATTTAACAAATAAAATCACGTTTTGAGTCATTTAACAAAATAATAAAACGATTTTAAGAATATATTAGCAAACTCTGGAAGTAAAAATTCGCTAATGCAAATCGCGGTGTAAAGAACATCTAAGTTTTCCTAAATAGCCACATTTCTGCCCTTACCTTAAAGCAGATGAAGAGCGAAAACGGCATAGTCAAGATGACCAGGAGCCACGACAGGAACACCAGGATCTTTCCGCAAAGCTTCGACTCGCTGTCAGAGTCTTCGTTGCCTAAAAAAATAAATGAAAGTAGTTTATACCCATTATTGCCTTACAACATTTTAAAACCAAGTCGTACTTGATGCGATGGTCGGGTATAATTGCTGACGGTTGCTCATTTCGATAACGGAAGCCATGGCCAAACAACAAACTTCGCTGCTAAAATGCTCCGCGCGCAACTCCGGAGAGGGATGGTGTTGGACTGACGTCAGAGCCACCTATTCCATGGTCAACTGAGTCGTTCAATATTCATATGGGAATGACAAATATGACAAATGTACCTTCACACGTTCAGCAACGATAAAAAATAATTATTTTATATTCTTATTATCTTCTATTAACTTACCGCTGGGTTCGGTGATCACCATCGTGGTGGATTCGGAGTAGCGAGCCATTAGTGCTTAACTTCAAACGTACGTTCGCGCGTAACGACTGTTAGGGATGTACTGACACGTGTCTGGGTCCGTCATAGACTATAAGAGGTTTTAAATACTCGATTTACATGGCTCAAAGTGAAAATAAATGACGAACTAATTATTTACCATTAATAACCTTACACTAGATATGAATTAATTATTGCAAATGTACTTTTTTCCTTTTTTAATTTAAGTTATTTCAGTTCGATGTTTGGTGCGATTATGAATTTAATAAATAATTTACATATTATGTATTCGTCGGAATTGGCGGTAAACTGTAACTTTTTATTAATTATTGGGTGTCGTCAATCGTTTTATTACAAGTGGAAATAAGTTAAAAAGTTATCAGAGTATACTTCACAGGTCGTCACTCCATCTAGTGGGAGGTCGTCCTACACTGCGATGGCCAGTACGAGGCTGCCACTTGAGAACCTTTCTTCCCCAACGGTTATCGGTTCTACGAGCTATGTGGCAAATGTGCGGGAAGTCGATGGATGCAGGTGGCTCAGGATCGTACTTCATGGCAGTCTGTGGGCGAGGCCTATGTTCAGCTGTGGACTCAAACAGGCTGAAATGATGATGATGATGATGATGATTCTTTGATTAATGAGTATTATAAGCTTTTTCGGTAGAATTACCAACTTATTATTATATTATTAAACTATTATTGACAAATACCTATTCCGAGACTACTAGTTTATGACCCCCGACATAAAAGGGGCGTATTATAAACTTGACGTCTCTGTGTATCTGTGTGTCTGTATGTGGCATCGTAGCTTAAAAATTCTAAGCGAACGGATCGGTTATGGTGCGGTGTTTTTTGTTTGAAAGCTGACGTGATCGACTTTGTTCTTATATATAATTTGAGTTTTTTTTTGTGTCAGGGAGTTTCTTAAAATATTGTATTACACCTAAATATAGTCCACGTTTTTTTATGAGAAAAGTTTCCAAAGGAGCAGACGGTTCACCTGATGGTAAGTGAATACCGCCGCCCATGGACATCTGCTACGCCCGAGAGTTACAGATGCGTTGACAACCTTTTGAAAATTGGGCTCCTGCAACCTCATTCACTAGATGAAAGGCGAAAGTATTTGTCAAACTTCCACTTTACTTTTCTTCTGTGAGGTCGTGGTACCTACCCTGACGGGCCTGCCCATTCGTGCAACAGAAGAGGCTGCTGCGTGGCCCTACCACCGTAAAAATTTTCATAATTATTTAATATACCTATCATCATTATCATCATTTCAGCCTGTTTGAGTCCACTGCTGAATATAGGCCTCCCCCATAGACTGCCACGAAGTACGATCCTGAGCCACCTGCGTAATATACGTAATTAGTTGTCAAATAATTTAATACTGTGGCAACGCAACAGTCTGCTCTGTTTCACGAATGGGTAGGTCCGTCCAAAGTGTTATTATACTTCTGCGTTTCATCTGGCAGGCGAGGTAGCCGGTGATCACGTTATTAGAAGATAGCAGTTTATTTGCAACTCTCCAGGTGTTGCAACGTTAGTGAGTGGTGTTTATCACTAAACAATTCGGGGAACTGCTAGCTCGATTGCCACCTTCTTCTTCTTCTTCGTAAAAAAATATAAAATTAATAGTGCAATCCATAATTATTACGAAAATATGTTATTATAATTGTTTTTCTTTATATTGTAATAACTAATAATCAATTGCTTTAGCAACTAGCGCTTGGTCTCTTCATTACTTTATTAGTTTTAGGTCATGAGTCGAAAAATATTTAATAGTAATATAAACTAATATAGCTAAAAAATTTAAACCTAAAAAAAAGTATATGGCTTCAATTTAATCAATATTTTCGATTCAATTCATTCAAATTCAATTTAATATGAAAATTCAATTCAATATTCAAAAAGTATTCAATCTTTGAGTGCGTCTCCATTTATTATATGTTGTGTTTATGAATACTACTAATTGAAAAATAATAACTTTTTTACCAGAAAGATCCGATATTCAAATTAAGTATCTAAAATTGTTTAGTTTTAAAGTTATAGTTTTAAATGTATTTTTACGTTCCTTTTCTCATAAAATTATACGGAAAAAATTGAGAAACCTCTGGGAGGCTTCCACCTAAAATGTTACAATGTAAAACTATACGAGTATGAAAGGGTTTTAATGCTGTGAGTGTAGGCAATAAACTACAAGTAGCGCTACAAACAACTTTTGTTTGATGGTCAATGATATTGATTAATTATTATGGACCGACCTTCGTGTGTCAAGCCTATCTTTTGTAGTTAGAACATTTAATATATTTTAAAATACAAGACATTTTTTTTTATTTTCCGTTAACCCCCAGAAAACGGAACAGAAAACTTAAGGGAACAGATAAGAAGTGACGCTGCGTATTTGCTCTGAGGTTCTAGATTTCCTATTTTTACTTCATCACGTTTTTGTGTAATTTAATAGGCATTACAGTGCCTTGTCCAATAGTCGGATACATAATCCGACTATTGGACAAGGCACTGAAAGAGGACATTATAAATTAGTCCACCACGCGACCCTACTGCGGGTATATCGACTCTGGTTACCCTTATACTAATTTTATTTTTTAATTTTTTAAAAATGTCAGAAGCTCTTGAACCGATGTTTGAACCCAAATTGCTCGTGTGTCAAAAATCGTGAAAGACAACATTGGAAAAGGAGTAAGTATGCAACATTTCTTCTTTTTTATTAATTATACATAATTAAATTTTGTGGATAACAGACAATGGAAAGATATATGTAATGAAGTACCTAGGTTAATGTTTATTAAGTTATTTTCTTAAACTTTTCTTTACATAATTGGAAATAGTCAATTGTTGTTGTAAGGGATTTGGGAAATTTCCTTGCATTGTTCTTTACCGACAGACTTTAGCAAGTTTTTAGGGGGAAAACTAATCAAGCGTTAACTGAATCTGTGTAGACATATCGACTTTTCCGACGCTTCAAATGAATTAAAGGAAGCGTTGGAAGTCTCTGTGGAGATGTGTGGGATAGTTTAAGATTTCAATCTCGAGTTACAACAGAAATGATTTTTTTATGTCAAAAGTTGCCAAGCGAGCAGACGGTTTACCTGATGTTAAGTGTTAGTAATACCACCGTCCATGGACATCTGCTACACTCGAGGGTTCCAGATGCGTTGACAACCTTTTGAAAATGGGGCTCCGGCCACCTCAGTCACCAGACGAAACGCGAAAGTATTTTACTTCCACTTTACGCCGGTACTTACCCGGACGAGCCTGCCCATTCGTACAACAGCCGGGGCTGCTGCGTGGCCCTACCACAGTTAAAATGTACCGTATGATAAAGGCAACATACACAGAAATGAAATACCGTCATGAATTAGGAAATAATTTATTAAATAACGTTATTAGTACATGGCTGCTGTATGTAGTTTAAACAGAAGCCTCTGTTGCCGACATCTACGGGTGCTTCAACATTGTCTGTGTGGAACCACAAACGGAATGGCTTTACTGTGCCTGTAAAAAAAGTTGTACCAAAATGATATAGCCCTCGTATTGTCAACATTGTAAATGTGTTGTTTCACGACCTATTATTTCCTTTAATGGCTATGGTAATATCAAGTTTTGTATATGACAGTAAGTAGGACTTGCAAACGTTTCTGTAGTAATGACCGGGCTCTTTAAATAATGAGAACGCTCGGAGTGTGTCTACTACCAACCGTGTAGGCCGTGTGATACCCAGTTTTCTAAGATTACGGGCGTGGACGTATGTTGTTATTTCCACACGGTAGTTTTATATTTCGATAATTTGATCTTTTTAAATATTTCATATGGTAATTTTAGGCGACAAGAAATATGTGGTGTTTCCAAATTCTGAGCTATATAGTTATATATAGTTAATATATTTTTAATTCAAATTTAATAGAAATGGGCCGAGTAGAAAATATGCAAGAAGAGTTGAACCTTTTTGAAATAATGAGTCAAAGGTAATTAGAGTTTACTTCAAAGTTGTTACTGAATATTATAAATTGAAGCTTTTCTTCCTTTCCATTATCACCATGGCGAAAATCTTACTAAAATATTGTAATGTAAAATATTTACTACGTAATAAATACGTTCATTTACTATGGAAACTTTTATTTAATATTTGTAGAAACAAGACAAAAAGTTATTCACTGTTGCGAGGATTTTGACTTGCACCCTATGAAATTAAAAAAAAATATTTGTAAACTAGGGATTTCACCTTAGTAAGTACGTTGCATTTTTTTACGCAATGCTGACTATTTTATTCGTATGTTCCGCTGTTAATAATAAAGCTTTCTTAAAATCTTGTTCTCTGTATCATTTAATTTGTGTAGTTATATATGATTTCTCTAAACAAGTGAAACAATAGGTCGTTTTTAATCCAAGCTCAAAAAGGCCCGTTTTGCAATGAATAGTACATATACAAAATATGTATATTAAATTATTTTTATTATTAGTAAATATGAATATTACATAATACGTATGTATAAGCAAATGACAACCATAATATGTTTAATGATAATGTATTTAGTGATGATCCGGTAACATTTAAAATAATAATAATTGATCCCGTATGGGCGAGAATATCTCTATAATGTTATATCTCTATAAATATATATTTTTTCTCTATAAATATCTTTATAGAGTTCAATTTTATACTTATAATTTATTTTTATTTTGCATTTAATATAAATAAAACTAAATTTTTTATTACAAATTAACAACGATCGTAGACTGAAATAAGAAAGTAGACTGCGGTTTAAGTCTACTTTCTTATTTCTCCTGTCCCACCTGGATACCCTCCATCTAGAACTGCGATAGGGCCACGCGACTGATTCTACTGTTCCACGAATGGCCAGCTCGTCTGAGGAGGTTCCATGGCCTCACTGAAGACCAGCGTAAAGTGGAAGTATATTTTTTTTATCAAGCGAACAGACGGTTCACCAGAGGGTTGCAGATGCGTTGACAACTCTGTTTAAAATTGGGCTCCGGCTACCTCACTCACCGGACGAAACGCGAAAGTATTACACTCCCACTTTACGCCGGTCTTCTGTGAGGTCGTGGTACTTACCCGGACGAACCTGCCCATTCGTGCAACACCCGAGGCTGCTTTAACTTTTACTTTCGCGTCTCATCTGTTAATGAGGTAGCCGGGTTCACTTTCAATAAAGGTTGCTCGACAACGCATCTGCTCATATTTACTTAACATCAGGTGAACCGTCAGCCTGCTCGGCAACTTTTAATCTGAAAAAATGTTGGTAATGGTACTGGCTAGTTTTTACGACCTGAAGTCAACCCTCCCAGATCCGGTGCCCAAACACTCAGATCCGGTACAATTATCAACAACTATCAACCAAACCATAAAATTACACCGCAATAAAGTTAAACAAGTCGGTCAAGGTCACTATTACATCTCCGTTTGATTTCGTTAAATTAATACCCCCGTCTTTTACGTTTTATATGGGTCAAACGAGCCCATGAAAACCTTTCTAATTAAGACGTGTCCTTAGAGTTGCTATTAATTAGTTTGAAAGCATTACTCCCTTTGGATATAAAGTCTAATGGAACAGATAATATAAAATTACACAATAAAGTTACGAATTGCCATTTTACATGAATAGCATATAAACCGATAATTTAGTTAATAATGATCATGAGATAGTAATTTTTAAAGTAAAACGACATTCTCTAAAATATGAGAATGTTCATAATACTGTCTCCACTTATCATCAAGTTGTAAAATGTTACGTAAGTCCATAACAATGAGAATGATTTTTTAAGATTAAGTAATGTGCACGATATGAATACTAGGAACAAACATAAATGAATTCTACCCTCTAACTAACTCATCTAGATTACGTAGAATAAGTAAATATTTTATGGGACAATGTATACGTTTATACAACGTACGTTTTTTACAACAAAATGCCAGAATGCGTTCCAAATGAATCGGTTGCTAAATTCAAAAATCTTGTAAAGGAACGGTGTGTATTAAACGTTATTAACATAATGATTCGTGATTATTTAAATGATAACACATACTGGAACTCTTTTACAAGCCGAAATTAATATATTATAATCATGTTTATTTTATTTTGACTATCTCAAAAAAAATATTCTGCTGAGTTTCTTCTAAGGTGAGTGGCTTTTTTTCCGAACCGGTAGTAGTGTTTTTTGACAATCGAGAAGTAAGTGTAATCACTACGACAATTAATAAGTAAATTTCCTCACATAATTGATAGATATCAAATAGAGGCGTCAAATATATAAACAATTTGGGAGTGTCAAGGTTACCGTAACTATTTTGCCTTAAACTAATTCTGTTTTTGGTAATACTGACTCAGGACGGTGGCTGCTTGCATTGAGAGGTCAGCCGAGAAGGATCCGCCGCAGATTCTATCCGTGCAAAGGGCTTGGGCGGGCTGCAGACGTCCCACATTGGCAGCACACGGAACGAGGAGCCAGTCGTTTGCACAGTTATTCGGGCCCGCACCGGAGCCGATCATGGAGTTGACTGGCGTGTTACTGTTCCCGCTCAATGTAAATGCGCGGGAACGATTGTTCACTGTTCAAAAAGTACATTTTTCATCTGTATCATTTCAAAAAACATAGAAAAAAAATCGGAGAATCCTTTTAAACATTTTGTCATCACAGATACTATAAAATACGTAACGAGTAAATGAGTCGAGAAAGAGAAGCAGAAAAAAAAATCTTTAAGAGCCATTTCACTTTATCGCGAATTCTTTTAAGATTTCAGTTGTCTTATTTAGGTTTGATAAGTACTAAATACTACTCTGAAATTCTAAATGCATGTTACAAATTGGCATTTAAAAAAAAAACTTTGTTACTCTGTCTCGGTATATCAACACAGAGTAACAAGTTCTAAAACAGATTATACTGACGTTTTACAACGTTTACTGAAAATTCATTGTAGAGTTAATTTTCGAATTTAAAATCTATCAATAATATTTCTAAATTATATATTTTAGTTACAAACACTTAGTGCAACTTTCACGACTTACACCGCAATTTAATCGCGATTCTTGTGTTTTAATAAAGTGCAATTTAAAAAAATATACATATCAAATTAAACTATGTTCTTTGAAAAGTACTGTTTCTAATAGGATCACGTTTTTATCATTTTGAAGGAAAATATTATTTGGTAGAATAATAACGTTCACGAATTCACAGACCCTAGATAGGAGAGGTCAATGTCTTAACGACATATATTCATTTAACGGAAGAAAATATATGAACAGTTATGACCCGGCTACTTACAAAAAGCGATGAACAAACAAACGATATCAATGTAGAAACATTAATGAATGATACATTCACAGCCAGTACATTCATATGTGCGTTTCCAAATATAGATACAGATAGTTAATTTTTTTATTTCTTTCATGTAAAGAAGCTGTAAGAATACTGTAGCTAGAATTTTGGAATATTATAACTTGATTGAATGCAGTAACCATGGTATTTATTGTACGTTCTTCTTCATTAAGCTCGGAAAGTGCAATCGCACCGTCTTTTCTGACTGACTATTTGAATTAAATATTTTGAGTTTGAATTTAAACTTCACGTGCGTTCACACATAGTGTTATTGTACCGTACTACACTGCTTGCATTATGTTTGTGTGGGTAATTTTTCAGCCATAAAAAACATTGTTTTATCTAAACTCGAGTGTTCATATTTTGTGTAATGGCTTTTAATTACTTGTACGGACGATATAACCACTCTAATCCTTTTCGAAAAGTGTATAATGAAAAGTTTTTAAGTCCGGCAGCTAAGCGATAGCAAGATATAATATAAAATATATACCCGTGTCTGTGCAGGCTGTGTATTGAACACCGCAAAAATTTCTCTCCATTCTAATGCAAATGCCATAGTCTTGGTTGCTGAGCTGCAGGCCCGTCGCCGGATCATAGTTAAAAGACCGTAGCTGGCCAGAGACTCCCGTGTAATACTGAAGGCACCCTTCATCGGCTAATGCATTTAAATATATTAGTAATTTAAATATATACATAATAGCTTAACAATCGTTTTTTTAATGAAAATAGTTTGACGTAACCATTACTGAAAGTATAGAAGTACTATAGGAACATTAGATTTAAGAGTCAAATATTAGGCGGTTCTCTGAAGGCTAAAGCAGTCGTTATTTCCATCGTCACTAGTGACACAACAGAAGTGACCTAAAGGAAGCAGAAAAAGAATATCTAAAATAAAATCTAAGAAGAAACAGAAACGTTTAGCGGACGGAAGTATTTATAATATGAAAAGAATAAATACAACCTTTTAGGAAATTAATACTTGATACATAAAAATTAAGTAACGGTAAGTCATATTTCGTAGAAAGCAGTTTGGCTACTTTTATACCCAGCAAGTAGCACCAGTATTTTTTCATTAATTAGGCTCTAAACTAAACCATAGCGCTCTCTGCTCTTCCGCTAATAATATTCCAATAAAAGTTTCAACAGCAGAAGCGGAGACGGATATCATCATGAAGCGTATGGGCCTTCAACAGTTGCAGAGGCAGAAGTAGAGATCTGTTGCGTGACTTTACTATATACTTACCTTCAGGAGGGATTAGCATTAGGGATTAGCCAGTACAAATTTGGAAAAGGGTTTCCTAGGAAAAATGTTAGGGGGACATTATAAATATAATTTACCTTTGTATATTGTATTGCAATTGATTTGTGTCACTTTAACCTTCCAAAGCCTTGCAAAAGGATTTCCACTTGTCACGAAAGTCAACTTTACCGGGTTCGTGGTACCGATGCCAGCATCAATGTACACTACAATAATGTTCATATGAAATTTAGCAATGAAGGGGAGCGATAAATCGATCAAGTTTAATTTTTAGAACACGAAGTTTTATCCCTTTTTTCAGGCAATGAAAAACTTAATGCTAAAATATCTTTAAAATACGAAGGTAAATTTCGTTGTTTGATTTTTTATTTTTTTTTCCTTTTCTTTTTCAAGTTCCTCCTTCCTTAGTGAGAAAACCAAAATCGAGCAAAGCTCGGTCTAAATGCTATAAACTTAAACTTAACTGTGGCTTCCGTGGCTCATACCGCAAATAGCTGGCACGGGATTGCCCCCCGAGACAATGAACTGGTCTTGGTTGCACACGTGATTCATTTGTTCAGGACCCGCAATAGTAAAACGGATGAAATCTAACCTACGTGCAAAATAAAACATATTATTCGAAAGTTATATTTTTTTCCCAAAAAAGTAGAATTCTTAATATTAGTTCTTTGAGGTTCCTGGTTTTTGTTACGTATATAGTCCGTTTACTACGACTCTTTTATTACTTAAGCTTTACGAAACTGATATTACAACTTCGTTTTCCCGACCACGCTAAAGTAAAGGAGAAAATTTCTTCATTATCTTTCCATATATAACCTAAATTATGGCGCCAAAGATATGCCAATATGGCATATCTTTTGAGGGCATAATTTATCTAAGAATTAAAATTAATTAATAGAATCGTTTGAAGTTTATTTTATTTACCTTATCTGGCATACGTCCGGATGGGACTTTATTATCGTCAGCTCACAAGATCCGATGCCGTCGTAAGGTTCAGGATATCCAGAGTTTACGAAGTACGTTCCATTCTCTGCGGTGGTGCTGCCGCAAGACGTCATGACTGTTCGGGGGAAGACGTGACAGGTAAAATGTATTCATTATTTTACTTTACCGATATGCGTTCATTTTCTTTGTGCATTTTTCGGCATAGAGAATATTGTATGCCTATTGTTAATAATATTCATATTTTTAGATATACTTCAGTAAAAATAGACGAAAGTTCAACTCATTTTCTAAAGGTTACCCAGTAGTTACAGTGGCACTTTATAATATTATACTATCAAGAGTTGAGTAATATAAAAATATGGGAGTGATGATTTTTTTTATTTCCAACTTACATATACAGCACAGTCCGAATCCGTTGGCGCAATAGCCGTTTGCGGAGCCACCTTTTGATGAGCACTCTCTTGCAGTCATGCAAGTGCCGTTGTCACCCGATGCACCGGCGCATCCCCCATTCGGAAATGTGACCACGGTAAAAAGCGAAAGAACTGTGGTTTGATTTAAAGAAACGCGTTAATAGCTAAACATATTCCCGTATGTTTGTTATCCTAACAATAGTCTGCGTAAATGGTTTGAAAGGATGGTGAAATAAGGGAAACGTCGTGAGTATAGATATCCGTTATATTTTCGAAAATATAACAAAAGTATTTCGAAAATACGTAAAATTTGCCAACCTGTGATTCCTATCACGTGATCTCTTGCATGATAGTCACCTTAATAAGCTCTAGACATACACCTTTGCCAACAGTGTGGCATATATATAATATATATCACAAGCACTATTTTTTCAAAAAAGTCCGTAAAGTTCGTAAGAAAGAATTATGTTTTTCTGTATGAAAGTTAAATATCGTAGGGTCGCGGATTGGCACCACGAATCGAAGGGATTTTTGTATAACTTATCTTTAATAGCGCGGTGAATAATTTCCGAATACCCTTTGTACAGAGTAGGCGTTTGCCTAGCAGTCAGGGACTACTTTATTTTTTTTTACTTATCATCTGCTTCTGTGTTTATTTTGGACTTTTAATATTCTCAAGATGTAAAGATATATAAGGAATTAATAAAGTAGGTACTTGTATTTCGTTGAGCTTTGATCTGAAGTACAGTACAGCAAAGTAAATTGGAATGAAGAATTCGATGTTGCTCTTTAATGGATTGCTGGAATCCACTAAAAGAAATTAATTAAAAAGGAAGCCAGGCTAAGTTCGTGCAACCTCTTTGAGCCAGACGTACTTTTAACTGAGATAACACTGTAAACTTAAAGTGATGTATATACATGTGCCGTATACTTACATCGACTTTCTTTCTGTACCGGTGGCCAGAAGCTTTGTTCAAAATGTTGTTTATTTTGCATTTTAAAGCCTCTGTTTAATTTAACGGAGTGCGTGATTGACCCAATATCTAAAGTCTTCACAGTGTTGTATTTATATTCCGTCTGATTAGGCTCGCAAAATTTTAACAGACCGAAAATTATTACAAAATATGTTATTCCCATATTCAGATTATTAAGTACCTAAAGCGGATCAGACGATGTTGCAGTAAAGAGAATACTGACATTTATTGCGGCACGTGAAATTTATAATATTTGAAACGGGAAAGCGAACAATGGTGTTGAATTTCACTCGTTATTGCGCGATGGTGACAATGCCCACTTTGGACGTAATTTCTTTTAGTGTTTGATCACATATACGATATGCAGTCAACGGCTTGTGACATCGATAAAATGGGTATTGTTTGAGATATAAGGCGTTAGTGTGTGTTGCCGTTGTATGTACTAATCGATACTGCGTATTGTTTTTTTTTAATGTTTAATCAATAGCAACGCGATGATCGAGCTTTGTTCGGATTTTTTTTAAAAAGAAGGATCTTGAAAAATGGGAAAATATGACAAAAAAACTCATCTGGTCTCAAAAAATAAAAAAGTGTCTTCTGGAATAGACATAATGTCATCAATCATAATAAAATTAAATGTATAAAATAATGATCTTTCACGAACTACTGTTTTGGAGTTATCCGATTACCGCCCGCGCTACTATAACTTTGTAGATATAGGCCAAAATTTACCATAAATTTAAAAATTCATATTCTAATGATATTTTTAATTGCCTGAAAACAGGGAAAAAACAACGATTTCTAAAAATGAAAACTAGCTAGATCAATTTATCGCCCCCGAAACCTCCAGCATACCAAATTTCATGAAATTTAATACTTTTTATGCAATCACAATGTATTCCCTTATCCTATTTCAGTTTTTAAAAGAATAAAATCAAAATCAAAATCAAAATCAAAAATATATTTATTCACATAGACGCTTGCGCGTTCTTATGTAATGTCAAAAATTTTACATAAAAATTAATACGTTCGTAAGTTACCACCGGTTCGGAAAGCAGTTTCTGTTGAGAAGAAACCGCCAAGATACTCAACAATTGCTCTTTTTTAAAACGATTAGTTTACAATATAATAGAACAAGTATGTCATTTTAGCCTACGTGAGTATCAACAGCATTAACCCCACACATTGGCGTCGTCGAGATATTCTGCAATGGTATAATATGCCTTAGCCATAAGTTCGCTTTTAATTTTGCGTTGATATTCATCTAGTGGCAGACTTAACACCGATTGTGGGATTTTATTATATATGCGCACACTTTGCCCCATGATCGATCTATTTACTTTTTGTAGACGAAACAATGGCGTAATTAATTTGTCCTTATTTCTAGTATTTAATTTATGTCTGTCACTATTTTTAAGGTATGTCTAACGTACAAAATATTACAATAAATATATTGGGACGCGACAGTGAGTATATTAATCTCTTTAAAAATATCACTGAGTGTATTCCGGGCTCCGATGTTATAGATTGCTCGGACAGCTCTTTTTTGAAGAATAAATATAGAATTTATATCAGATGCACTACCCCATAACAAAATGCCGTACGATAAGATGCTGTGAAAATAACTAAAGTAAACAAGTCTGGCAGTGTCGATGTCTGTTAGCTGTCTAAGCTTCCTAATCGCAAAAACAGCGGAGCTTAGCCTACTCGCAAGAGATGATAGATGGGGACTCCACTGAAGCTATGAATCTACTGTAACCCCCAAGAAAACTGCAAACTCAACAGGATTGAGGGATACGTTACTTAATAATAAACAAAACTTTGCCTTCTTACACTAGGAAGAGTAAAAAGAATTCATTTTTTTTTTTTTGGCATTTAATACCATATTATTTATGGTGAACTAGTGAAGGATATGCGGAAGTGCACCATTTACGTCGTCATAATTGGATGAATTTCGGTCAACCTTAAATATGAGTGATGTATCGTCAGCAAACAGTACAACATCACAAAACTCACTGGCATTTATATATACTAGAAATAAAAATGGGCCCAAGATTGATCCTTGTGGTACACCCATTTTTATGGGGGACCCTGCAGAATTAACATCATTTATAGATACTTTTTGAATTCTATAATTAAGGTTAGAGGTGATGAGATTGAGGGCGCTGTCACGAATGCCATAATAATCTAGCTTGCAAAGAAGGATTTTGTGATCTACGCAGTCGAAGGCTTTTGAAAGGTCACAAAAGACACCTGATGCATCTTGTGACCTTTCCCAGACGTTATAGATATGCTTAACAAGTGCGACACCCGCATTGGTTGTCGATCTGCCTTTAGTGAATCCATATTGCTCATCGTGAAAAATTTTGTTCATATTAAAATGTACTAATAGTTGAGTTAAAATTAGTTTTTCAAATATTTTACTTAGAGATGGCAATATGGAAATAGGTCTATAGTTACCTGGATCATTTTTATCTCCACTTTTGAAGACGGGGATTATCTTACTGAATTTCATAAGATCTGGAAATATTCCAGAATCTATACAGTTATTAAAAATGTTAGCCAAATGTGGTGCAATATATCGCATTATTGTGGTCATTAATTTTATGGACATGCCCCATAAATCCTTTGTACTTTTAAGATTAATAGAATTCAAGGCTTTTATGATATCATTAGTATCTACGTGATTAGTTTAAACGTGTGTCGACAATAGGTAACATTATTTAGCAATACATTAATTGCATCTATGGAAGAGGATTTTAATGTGCACGTGACAGTAACTGCAATTTCTAAAAAAGAATTTCGAAGCTATTTGCAATTTCATAATCTGATGTAATGGGAGTATTACCTATGATAAGTTTTATAGGTTCCCTGAATATCTGGGGTCTTCCAGATATACGGGTAATGATGTCGCATGTGGCTTTTATTTTATTATTTGAATTTAGAATTCTATTTCTTATATAAAAAGATTTTGCCTGGGCACAGAATTTTTTAAATATTTTTGAGAACGTTTGTACCCGCTTATGGAAATTAGGGTCGTGATTCCACTGCCTCATATTTTATAATTCATATAGTGAATCCTTACTTTTACATATACTCACTGTTGCCCAGTCACTAAATTTTAATTTTGAATTTTTAGTAATTATGCGTGATTTAAAAGTATCATTATAAGAAGATATAAGAAAATCAACCATTGATCTATAAGAATCATTGGGGTTGACTCCTATATCTTTATAGAACATGCTGTGCCACTTTATATCTAAAAGAATTTATTCTGTTTGTAGTGACTGGCCTACACTTTAGCTTAAGTTCCCTTGTAGTAATTTTGTCTTTCATAGAAAATTTCAAAACAGAGAGATCAGAGCTCAGACAGTTTATGATTGATTTTTCATATACTATATTGTAACAGAATACATCGTCTATACATGTGGAAGATGATTTAGTGACACGAGTTGGTTCATGATAAAGAGTTTTAAGTTAATATGAACTAAATAAAAAAAGTCGTTTGCTAAGTTGTGTCACTTGTAATAAATCCACATTAAAATCTCCACAAACTATTACTGGTTTACTATTTGAACAGAGTTTTTTAAGGACATCATCCATTACACACTCAAATTGATCGAAATCACCTGAGGGGGGCCGATACACGCATACTATAATATACTGTTGACTCTCAACGCAGGATAATTCTATAGAACGTTCGACAGAGTGTGCCACTATATCCTGTCGATTTTTACATTTTATATCAGTTCTTACTAATACAAGCGCAATAGCATTTGAATCTCCCAATCGAATCACATAGTAGATTTTTTTCCATTACCACATCATGAAATGCATGAAAACCTGCTCGTACATTGCGTAAAATCAAGTTTTTATTATTCAACTCTAATTTTCGAATTTATTCAGATTTCTTACACTCACCAGCTCCGCTTTACTTCAGAAACGTTAATCAGAAGAAAGTGCGAAACCGCATTATCCAAAAGAATTACAACTAAAATTGAAGAAGTAAGAAGCCAAGAACTTGAACAAAAGGTAAAACACAACAACACTACAAATTTTACTTATGGCAGTAAGAGTGAAAAGGTAATAGGAGCAGACTATGTTAATTCCTACTGAAGGACAAACAGTAATAAGAAAATATATAAACTCCAAGAAAAGTTCCAAAATTACCAAGTATAAAAGCCCCAGACTGGATGGACTGATGGAAGGGAAATTATTTTGCAGATGTGCAGCAAAAGCAACCACAGTACTTGAGAAACCTTAAGACTATAAGCAATAAAATTGTGGAATTGCCGTCGATATTAGAGGCCCGGTCGATTGATTTTTTAAAGGGATACACGCCCTTTAAAACAACGAACACTATTTACTTTGCCAGAACAGTATGAACAGTTTACTGATTCTTTATTCTATTTGAATTAATATTTATTATATATGCATAATATGGTTATATATATATATATATATATATATATATATATATATATATATATATATATATATAACTTAACTCGAAGAAAATGCTATTTAGCATTAAGTTCACCTTTGTACAAACATTTACACACATTTCCTACCTTGCCAATGCAACAAAAACATTGTCAAATTTGGGTGGTTACAGGTTAGGAAACATGGATTTATTGCATCAATCTCAAAACAAAGCAGCAATCGAGGGTATGAGTAAATATTCAAGATGAGCCGAAACCAAACAAAGCGGTGCACGTGAAAAGTGGTATCTAAGTGGATGATTGCTTCTTTTTTAATAAAACTCGACACGTGGCTACTGTTGCTCTAAAGAACCATCGTACCTTGAATAGTGACTGGTACATGACCATTTATTATACATATTAATTATATAGTTAGCTATAGTTTCATCTCATTCAACTGTAGTTCTTAATAGCATTTTATTGCACAATTCAATGTGGTTCTTTTAGTTGTTATAACTTTTTATTTATGAAACAATTTAAATAAAACTTACACTAAATTGTAAGCTTACTAAAAATCGGTTAAACCGTTCCTGAGATTGGCCTGCACAACGCACAGACAAACAGACAAAAATTCAATGTTGGATGGCTCATAAGTTCTACGTTTTTCACCTTCAAAAATTCGTTTGTCTGTCTAGCCGTGTAGAAACTAGCATTGTTGTGCTGCAAGATTATACGGCGTTTACAGTTATTTTTATTGGGTAGATTAAAATGATATAACTTTGCGCAAACATTATGTACACAATTTTTTTGTACTGTTAGAATGACCTTGAATCCTAACTTCCTTAGATTCGATTCGCCCCTGGATCTGCTAAACAGGAAATTAGCCAGGAACCAGGGAAAGCGGCGGGTCGATATCGACTTGAACCGCACTAAACTAAAAAGTATTTTAGTTGCGTATTTTTGTAACAGGACGGCCAAACATATGGATATCATACTAATATTATAAAACTGTGTTTGTTTCTTTAAACTCCCTATTTCAGGAACTACTGGTCCGATTAGAAAAATTCTTGCACTGTTAGATGCCTATCTAACAGTGCATTTATTGAGAAAAGAAAAAAAGAATGTGTCACATGATGTATACTCACATGAACTTATTACTTATTACTTTCTCTTAATATTAAAACTTGTGACTGATGGAATTATTTTTGCTGAGATGAGTTCTTCATGTCCTACGATTAGTTTTTAGTTTACACAGGCAGCTAAAAAAGTAAATGTAAGAATGTTTGCGTAGCAAATTATAAAACTAGAACAAACTTTATTTTCTTTGATTTAAATGACGGTGAGATTTTAAATAACGAGAGCATTTAATAACGAGAGCATTTAGGTATTTTGCGATCAATGCATGTAGTCAGGATATCCGGTAGTTAGCACACGATTATAATTAGGTTTTTATGTTATTGTTGATATCGTTTGAATAACCATGTGCAAAATGTTTACAATTTTTCATTTTGCTTGTATACATTCTTTCTGAAATACATATACCGGAATATACTATTTTTGCACCTAGAATTTGAAGAAATCATACGAAATTATCATATACGATCGAAATAAAAATAAAATGAAACACCTGATTTGGTATACTTTAATTTATTCATACACTTTATAATAAAAGTCAGACAAGGTCAGACTTTATAATAAAAACTACATTGACGTAGACTACACACATATTTTACATTCAAATAACTATGGGTTAATCTGCACATCATAAAATTGTTGAAAAGAATAAGATCAAAATATTTTCTACTCGAAATTGTTTGCTTGAATTTAAACCTCAATGTACAATATATTTAATTTTTTAAAAAACAAATAATGACTATGAAATTACATTTATGCTATAAAATAATTTTGAAATAACTAAATTTTTTTTTTGTAATAACAGCTTTTCCAGCTAAACTCTATATGGTTTTAATTACTTTAACATCGATTTAAATGAAATTTATAGTAAAGAATATTTTTTTAAATATATAATTTACTGACGAACAGTTCAATTCACAATTATCATTCAAATGTTTTGTATTTAATATATACTCATCATTTCAAAAATACTTTTCTCGATAGCCGTCCTTTATATTTCGTTAGCTTTCATAATGTTTGCTTTTGATCTATAAATATATTTTAATTTTACATGTAACAATCCGTCTCATGTTTCGTCTTGTCATTTCATAATTTTAATTTAAAAAGAATTAATGGGTCATTTTTTTGTTACAAGTCATCAAAAGTTTTCACGAGTTTTAACTATTTTCATCATTAACTTTGCTAAATTACTTATAACTATATATAAATAGTATTACTAGTACTTATTTAGTACATAAAGTTATTCATTTACGCCAATGATGTTGATTAATATAATTTGTGACGGTCCAATTTATCTGTCGACACTGCATACTAAAATTTAACACTTTCCTACCAAAACATACGATACTTAATTTTAATAAATGTCAAATAATTTATAATATTTAAGATGCATAGTTAAAATGTTTTGCGTTGTAAATTTAAAATTACCATTCCAAAACATACCAATAAGCAACAATTAAAATAATACTCATAAAAACTTCATACTTGCTCTTTTATCATCGCAACAAAGTGCTCTATCTTACAGATGAGTTTGGGAATTCCCTTTTATGATATTCGTTAGATGATAGTGGAAGGTGTCTTTTATTTCAAAAAATAATTTAATCTTAATAAACCTGTAATTCAACTCCTTAATCATATTTAAATCGTTATAAAATTGTATACGTTTTATCAAAACGATTTTGAGATTTTTTTGTTCCTTTTATCTTAAATTATGTATCTACTATCTATTTCTATTATGTATTTACGATACACTTGAAGCAAGAACATGTATCATGGTCATTTTATACGAAGCCAGTCTCGGGGAGTTATTTTTAGATATCAGTCGATTTTTTTTAGTTAGTCATATTTTTCTTTTTAGTTTCTATAAGTTTTTTGATTTTCTAGTCCTCTTAGAAAATGTAGCAGAAAATAAAGAGTAAAGCTTAAATAGATATTAGTCTAAGCGACAACCAATAGATTTATCCGTGCATTTGATTAATTAGTATATTATTTTGTGTTTTTGGTATGTTATTATTTATATAGTATTAAGAGATTAAAAGATTAAATAACTATGTTTATTTGGAGTATGAACTAAAGTGCTTTAATAAATTTTCGCAAAAAAGATCAAGTATAGTCTTAATGCCTTCACAAAATCTACATAATTTTGGCATTTTTGAATAAAACTAGGTGACTAAATTTTTTCAAATTATAGTAAATATTATGTAACATTCACGAATTACTTTTATTAATTTTGTTTGTTTGGCGAACTACATTCATGCTTAATATTTTTAGTTTAAAATATATTGGAACCATTATGATAATCTCGCACGTCAATGAAATGTTTCAATAACAAGAAGAATTCAAAACTAAAAAATATTTTGAGAGTTAAATATGTTGCAGATAAAGAAAAATTGGATTGAATTATAATAAAAATATTGAACATGAACAACAAAAACTGGTATGGTTTACATTATTTGATAGAGAAAAAGTTAAACTTAAGCTAAATGTACTTAACCTAGTAATAGTTTAAACTCTTAATTAATTTCTTGTAAATCTAGGTACAAGGGAATACGGTACGGAGAAGGAAAATAAACTAGAATTTATATCCATTGCGAAACGAGTCATAATGTGACTATTATATTCCACTTATATAATTATGTAATAACCACAGTTAGAATCTTCGCCAACACTTACAAAACCTCTTGGTTTTGCTATAGGGTATGTTCAATCAGACACCTTTGTTAAATGAGGTAGCGGTCCTCAGTTTCTTGCAAGCCCTCGGTGAGCTCCAGCGAGGAGCGTAGCGAGACTCGCTCGGTGAAACTCCCTCGTCGACGTCGTCAGCTTCTGTTCTAATCTCCATTTTCTGAAGCGCATTTAAGAAATGTGACAAAAGATTACGGCGTGGAAGTTAAGGAAGGAATATAAAGGTTTTTTACATCTCTACAGATATTTTTGGATAAATTGAATCGACTTATGCAATATTCGATTGACTGCTTCTATTATGTGTATTACTCAAAACTATCATTCTAAGGATATGATCCATTTTGCAAGTAACTGTATCATGTGATTGGAAACAATAAATTGAAAAAAGAATTCAGATAAATTATCGCAAAAACTACAATTTTGAGCATAAATGATCTTGTCCTTTCCGATTAAAGGATTTTGTCATGACATTTTGCCTTACTAATTTGAATGTTATCAATATTAAATGAATAGAAATGTTATGTACCAGATGCAATTATATTAAAAGGTACCTATATCTGTATCGCCGTAAACATTTATAATTAAAAAAATGACTAGACACAAGATTATCATCTGTTTTACCTGAACTACCAAACGTAAAAGCATATATTGTTGTTCCAGAAGCTTCTTCATGTCTCGCAGTCGTTGTTTTTGTTTATTCAATTCCACCAAAATGTAATCTTCATTGTTCTCCAGAACGAGATCTAGTCCTGCTGTTGATCAGACATCATGACAGATGATCGTTAGTGAATGGTTGTGGTGATGTTTGTTGAAACTCTTGATGTAGTCTTAAGTTTTCATCATTAATTAAGTTTTCAGAAAAATTACAGTGTGTTCAGAAACATTACAGCCGTTTTTAAAAATATATTTGAATTTTCACTTTGTTCTTTAAACAGAATGATTAAGATTATCTCAATTATTAATTTTCAAAAAAATATTTGCAAAAATTTATCTTAAAAGTACGTTTTGTATCATTGAATGAGTCAATTAATTTACTGCTCCTACCAGGGTGACACCGAAAGTTTTTTGAAGTGTTAGTTTTTTCTTTTAAATTTTGATTATAGAACTCTTTAGTAACCTAACGTGATATATTGCATTTATTTATATATAATTCCAAAAGTATTGTTGAACCTCAAAATGACTTTTCCTACCTGAAAATTTTCGGTCCATGATTTATTACGACTTTTATTGTGGTCTAACTCAACAAAAAATGTATGATGGACTTCGATTGGCATTTAATAATGAAGCCCCATCCGGTGCCGCTATTTACAAGTGATTTGGTTTATTGCGATTAAGCGGGGGCGTAGCAATCTCAGTGATGAGAGACGTCTTTAACATAGAAATCTAAAGATAACATCAGTGATGTGTGACGCATCATAGAGGAAGATAAGATAGTGATCTACCAGCAGGACAAGCTTTCATACCAATGCCCAAGCACATACCATAACACGACAAAAATTTATCGCGAAGATATGTCAGAAAACTTTGTTCCAGATGGATTCACTCAGCGAAACGAACAATTCAATATTTGACTATGGTAGGTGTCAAGGTAATGAGTTATTCGCCATATAGTCCCGACTTGGCGCCCTGCGGCTTTCATTTATTTCGTGCTGGCAACGGGGATCGAGCTCAGGTTGCTCGAGTAAATAGAATTAAAGGCGAGCGTCCGGACACTGAACTATCACAGTTCAATGGTTCCATCGAATGCAAAGATATACTTATAGAAAGGAGCAGTGACTACGTCGAACTGTAATAAAAGTATTAGGAACTTTCTACGTTCAGCCGTTTTGTGATCTTCTAAGAACTTTTAGTGAGACCTACTTTAGAGCACCTGTATACTTTCAGAAAAAGAAATAGCTTTATTTAAAACTTACGACTACATCACCACCACGTACCATCAAGAGGGATGGTAATCAAGTGTCAGTCAGGTAGGAAAAAATTAAGGAGTATTTTATCACTGTATTAGTTATTAATTTACGCCCATTTTAATCCATAAATATGTGGATGGCCGAATGTCATATATAACTCCTTCAATTAGAAGCTTGTCAAATTCAATAAAAAAAGGTAACGAGTACTAATATCTAAAGCATTTTATATAAACAATCTCATTTGACTTCATAATTGAACATTATACGTACTGTTATCAGTAAACGGGTTGCAGAACCATTTCTTGAGTATAAAGTCCAAAAACCCCAATTTGCACTGATTTGAGTTTGGGTATTCGATCAGTTCATGTTTGTCTATTTTTTCGAGTAGCATTCTTGGGAGTTTTCTTTCGAGTTCAGTGTGTAAGACCACCTGCAAGGGCACAAAAGTAATGAACAATATCTTAATATAAATAAAATCTAGCTAACGTATCATTGTGTTTTATTTTTAACGACCAAAAACAAAACCAGTGTGTGAGCACAAAAATCACTGCAGCTCCACTAGTATACTATGCAAAACAGACAAAATGCATTAATTTTCATAAAAGCAAATAATTGCAAAGTTGGTTAAGTTATGGTCGTTACGTAAATTCTTACAAATACTTATTCGTTTATAATTCAGTTTCATTATATCTTAATTTTGTCCATGCTCTATCGTTGAAAAATTATAATTTATTAAAGCTTACCTGCATCGCCAAACGTTTAAGTTGAGCGTTTCTGCGTACACTTTCAATATCACCCACAGCTAAACCGATGAGCAGATTCATTAAGAGGATTGGCATTAAGATCATGAACAGTGCCAATATGAAGAATGTAGCTTCTGGGAATGGTAGTAAGGCCTTGGTATCAGAGTTATAATATGCCTGTACATAGGTTCCAACGAAGTCGAGTTCTCCAAGCATCATTGCAAACGTCCTAATAATTGACATTGACATGCTGCTAAAGGACAAATGGTTTCCCTGGAAAGCAAAATTGTCAAAATCTACTACCACATAAAAAACACCCTTACTCGCTTAGCATTTTCGCATCGAATCTTAAATTATATCGCTTGCAATTTAATGGTTGTAAGCATATTATGGAAATTGGTTACAATAGTAAAAACTCGCTAATGTTACACGAAAGTTAGACTGAGACATTAAATTATAACTGCGAAGAAAATATATACCGCGAAGCAAATCAATATGATAGCTCAACAGTTGCATAGCATATATACCCACTTTGGAGAGAAGAATATAAAATGAAGAACCAAAGGCGATGATCAGGATCGAGAACACCATTAACACTTTGATTAGCGTCTGCAGGATTTCCAAGAACATTACGACGTAAAGGCCGCACTGATCGAAGCGTTGAAGAAGTAAGAGCAGTTCAAACCAAGCCAAGAACACCGTTATAGAAGCCGCAGAAAACTGAAAATGGTAATTTCAATTAAAATTTAGTAGCTGTGAATTTTATAAAATTTAAAACTTGATTTCTCTTTTATTATATTTGAATAAGTTTTTCCAAAATGTATATGACTATTTAATAGTTGTTAAAATATATAGTTGAATGAAAGAGTAACGCTACATACCTGAAGTTCACAGTTATCACTAAAAACTGAAGGGATCACAGTCATGGTGGAGCTGACGTACAATATCCAAGAGACTAAGTTTGAAGGATCAACCAAGTAATGGAACTTCTGTTGCTTAATGTTGTAGGCCTCTCGTATTAGGCAGAGACAATTGTAAACTATAATCGCAACGGTGCTTGTATACATGGCAATTACTTTTTCAAATTCTGAAACTTTGTATTTATTTCAATTATCAAAACATATTTTTATTGGATGACATATGAATTTTTCATTTAAGATTTTTTTACTTACTGTGGTTATTAGAATTCAACGGCGAATCCACTTGTGTTACGTTGGTAACGATGTTTTTGAATATTTTTTTTGGTGAAATACAAATTTGAGTTTCATTTTTTGAATATTTTGGTACATCACTCATTAAGAGGTATGTGTAAACTGTCACAAAGGTTAAAAAGATGCAATAAAAGAGTAAGTTGGCCAAGTGAAAATATTTTCCATATGAATTCCATTTCATCTGTAAGTATTTTTGGCTCAGTGGATGAGCTAGCAGTTCTACTCTACCGTGTGAAACCATTGCCTGAAATAACGTGTTACTTGTAAATAAACCGGGAGTTCAATTAAAATTTTCAAATCGTTTAGACAAAGATGAGAAGCTAAAACGAATTATTAAAATATTAGCACATCCGAAAGAGCTATTGGTATTAATAATCACACAGTGTATTAAAGCTGGAATAAACATGTAAATATAATTTGTATATCATAACTTTTACGCATAGTGCAAGTGTGATCATATAATTTGTATATTTATTTCGCAATATAGAGGCAGATACGCGTACCATAAAACTCATTGATTCAAATAACATCTTACTAAACACATTTAGTGTTTTAGTACCAAAATTTTCGAGTTACATCTTATTAGTCAGAAATTAGTTTATTGTAATAAAAAAAGTACAAGTGATCTTGATCCAACTTTCAAACTTAAATAGATTACATACTTCATTCGCAGTGAGCAAATTACGAGTGTATGGCCAACATTTATCATAATTTTCTAATTGTTTAAATTGAATTAATTAGTCTCATGGTATCGATATGTATTTGAAACACAAGAACAGACACAAGCGAAGCGTCAGTGTGGTAAGTGACACCTCACTCACGTTGATAACATTTAACGGTTCTGGTTGAATCTTTGGGTCGTTATGCGCCTGTCTCAGCGCTTCAATCTCACACTTGGAATGTTGGTAGAATTGGAAAGAGTACTTAATCTGTGGTAAGTGAGAATACATTTATTACTAAATTATTCAAACAAAGTAAAACTTACATTAAGTGCCGGTAATGGAATGTCCACCGATTTTAGGACGTTATCAGCCTTCCTATTTCCCTCTTGGTCTTTTATTTGAGGGCATAGAGCATCGAAACTGTACTTGATCTAGATTTGAAAATATTTTTTTTTACATTTGAAGAAAATTAATTAAATAAAATGAATAAATTACAATAATGGAAATTATTACACGAGACTTATCAGATATGAATTGTAGTGTAGAAACAAATAAAAGGTAAGACAGCACAGTCTACTACTATTAATTTACTACAGGTTTTTAAATTGTTGGCGCCTAGCTGTGGTAGACCCTACTACAGTCTTCGCTGTTGCACGAATGGGCAACTGCGTCCGGGTTAGTCCCACAATTTCACAGAAGACCGGCGAGAATTGGATGTGTTATACTTCTGGGTTTCGTCTGGTGAGTGAGGTAGGCGGTGGCCCGTTTATTAAAATGTGGAAACGAATCCTACGGGTGCTGTAAATTTCCATGGGCTGCGGTTATCGTCTAACACTAGAGGAACCAACAGCTCGCTTGCCACCTTCTCACATACACATATATGTTGTATGTGCTTCGTTGGTCATCCTTTTTACAGATTGCTCTTGTATATACCACAGAAACGGTATTGCTGGTGTCCAATTACTGGAGGTAATCAGTGCCCATCAAGAGAATTGCTTCTTATCTTGCATTTATTTATTTATAAACAAGACATACGTAAAAACTTTTGGAGTCCTTCTTGCAGTTAGCCTTGGTAATACATTTGTCTTGAACAGCTTCGAACACTCGAGGCATATATGCTATCAGAGCAAGTGTTACACAAGGATGGCGATCTGAACGTAGAGCCATTACTTCCTTCGCCCTGTAAAATTAAAAAGGTTTGAAGATTATAATAGTAATTTTCTTATTATGTAATTTTACTGGATGAAACTTCGGCAGCTTCTGACACTATAAAAAATAATAAGAGAAGAAATTTAATTTGTTGTAAAAAGTTGTCTTGTAATTTTAATAATAGTAATAATTAAAACTGTAAACGAGCAATTCATGTTTATATATTAATTTCATTTATATCAGAAACGGCTAATATTATCTAAATCATCTTTTGTATTTAGATCAGGCTTTCCAGAAACAACATGATTTTAAATAAAAAAAAAAACATTTTATTACAGTCTCTAAGCCGCCGTCTCGTAAATTTTGAGATGTTTGCATTGTTACTACCGAAACATCAAAACTCTTTGAGATGGAACTATTTAACACTATCCTAATTAAATTTACCATTTCGAGTAAAACTTCGTCATAAACGCATTGTAAAAATAAATGCTATACAACATGTATTGGACCTTTTATTATAGTATTCAGATAATGGACAATAATACCTTAGCTCGTGAGTGACCATAGCGAGGGCTGCCTCCGGAAACTTGTAATAGATGGCATAATCAATTGCGCTCATGTCACGCCTGTTGTAGGTGAGACTGCATCCCATAGATAATAGCAGAGCAATGGAATTTGGTTTATTTTCCATAGTGGCTAGATGTAGAGGTGTATTCTGTTTTGAAAGATATAATCTTGGTAAAAATGTTCAGGAATATCATACATTATATATTTTGTATGCATATACAGTTCACAGTATACTTACTCCATCTTTATCAATTTGATCGAGTAAATGGGAGTGAATGGAGTGTAGAAGTTCTATAGTTTGAGTGAAGCCACTCATGGCGGCTAAGTGCAGAGGATTACGTCCATGGTGGTCACGGTGAAGAAGGCCCCCGCGATTCAATAACAGCTGCACAACCCTGGTGTGGCCCTCACGGGACGCAATATGCAGCGGTGTGAGGCCCTCGCCATCGCTTTCGTTGATTATAAACGTGCCCTTGTCTGAGTCGAGAAGTTGACACGCCGTGTGGTAACGACCGTATCTGATAAAATATAGAAAATATATTTACATGTAAACAGTTACTTTACATGTAAAAATCATTATTCGAAATTTTAAACAATATTGAAGAAAGATACTGTTACGAGCAGGGGGTTGTTGACGTCTTAAATGTCTTCGTATGTTGTTATTTTAAATTATTATTGTAGAGTGATTTCTGTTTCCCGTGTAGATTATTTTATCGTGTATCATAATAAACACATCATCAATCACTCCGTGATCAAATCTCTCGAAAATCGTTTCTTATTTTAAAAATAATACAAAACAAATTATATAATCTTACACGGTTGGTCTAAATATAAAAATTGAAACAATTGAAATCGGAAATGAAAGGTTACCTTGCGGCGAAATGAAGCGGGCTCTCGTTTTTGTTGTTCTTGGGATTAATGCATGCTCCCAGACGGATGAGATTCCTGGACGACTTGATGTGCCCCTCTCGACTAGCGTAGTGCAGCGGTGAGCAGCCGGTGTTATCCTTCTCATTTAACAATAAGCTAAGACTTTTCTCGCAGCGATCCTGAAATACGTAACGGGCCCATTGATTTTTTAGCCGACTACTGGTCAAGCTTTAAGCAAGTTATTAGTATTGATATATTAGTATGAGATATTCTTCAAAACGGTATAATTTGTTTGAGATGGATTATAAACAGGGGTTTTGATATTTGTAAATATGCAAAAGAGCGTTTTTTGTAACAAATTAAAAAAATTGGTCAGAATAATAATTGCATCATAAATACAGTTATAAGCCCTATAGTTTTATCAAGACATAAGCAATTCTAAATTGTGTAAAATTCTTCTTTTTTCTTTATGTGAAAAGTTGCCAAGCGAACAGACGGTTCACCTTGTGTTAAGTGAATACTGCCGCCCATGGACATCTGCTACATTGGTGTTGCGAATGACCATTGGCGGCACTTCTTACTTAACAACAGGTCAACCGCCAGCTTGCAGTATGAGAGAGCATCACGCCGTTTGCTGTTATGGCATACTTGGTCGATTTCGGTAATCAGTTTTACTGCTGAGGCGCGTCTACAGTTGTTTCACATCAAAAATCAATAGTAAAACTCAGTCCGATTAAAACAATGAACTTCTCGAGACGTGTTAAAAACAAGTCTATTTTAAAACGCTTACAACTTACTTTGCAACGTCTTATCGTTACAACTTACTTTGCAATTGATGGCGAAATCTTCGAGACGTCCGCCGTTCATTACAACCAGGTGCAATAAATTCCTTGAATTTATGTCTTTAAGTTCGATATCAGCTCCTAATCCAATCTGCGAAGTTAGCAGAAATACGTTGTTATAGTAGAAATAAAATATATCAACACTAATTGAAAATTAATTTGCAGTTTGTACGAATTAATTTGATCTTTTATCAAAAAATTATTCTAAATTTAGTCTTTAAATTAAATTAAGTCGTAAATTATGTTTTTTTGAATTTAGAAATGATTTCCGTCGTTCAGAACAATAACACAAACATGTGATTTTTAGTACTTACCAACTTGTGAACTGTACGCCAACCGGCCCGGGATGCAGCAAGTAACAAGGGTGATCTTTTTTCTTTGTCCAAAGGATTTATGTCTGAGCCTTCCGCGATCAAGTAACCGACTACATCTGGATGATCAAACATGGCTGCGCAATGCAGCGGTGTCATTTTCTGGACATCGCACGAAACCAGGCAAGCCTTCTTCTCTTTTTCTTGCATTTTGAACATTAGCTCGACAATTTTCAAAGCACCCTGTAAATGAATAAATATAATTAAGCAGGTACTTTTACCACGATTCATTTGAATATTACTCGTTATTCTCTATGTTCGTGAACAATATCTTGCCTCGTAATACACTTATAAGCACATGATTCGTTAAAATGTAAGTTTTATATGGAAAAAAAGGAAAGTAACAGCCTGTACATTTCTCAAGGCTGGGCAAAGGTCTCCTCTGTACAGAGGGTATCAGGACTGGCGGACTTCACACATCTTCGAATATTTTTTTTATTATTTCAAAAATAATACAGCTTTCTTCACGATAGTTTGCTTGATGTGATAAGTATTTAAAATTAACAATTTCTTTGGTGCCGGCATTGGGGCTCGCAAATTAAAAGCGAGCCTACTGAACGATACTGTCTACTGGCGAGACTGAGCTATCACTTCTTGTATCTTGTATTAACTGATGTTTTTGCTTTCAGTCCCGAGACTATTAAAGCTTCATCGGACGCAGAACCGGTGGGCTAGCCAGAACCCACGGGTTCGGACCCTCCGCTGTGGGTAGGGTCGCGCATGTGCTCATGCGTGCGTTTAACTACTATGGTGTGTCATCTAAGGGCCGTCGAGGTCGCCGGTTCGGACCGAGACCCCGACGGCCGTCGACTGTGCATTTAGCTAATCGGTGGCTGGGAGCGGTGAGAACCGCCCCGGAACGCGGGTGTACCTTGTGTACGCGTTGTGTGGGTCTCGCCGTGCTCGGAGGCGAGGGCGAACTGGTGTGATTGTTGTTACACTAACTGTGGGTGTAGTGTTATCCGGCGGGACCCCCGGCGGTGGGTCCATCGTGTTAGCTATCACTGCTCCTAAGTTTTATATTTAAGGGTTTAGATTAATGTGATTAGCTTACCTGTGCACAAGCGAGATGTACGGGTGTTGATAAATCATGCTGTTGAGTTGAGATCTTTGCGCCAGATCGGATGCAGAGTTCAACGGCCTTTATGTCACCGCCGTGTACGGCCGAGTGCAGCGGCACGTTGCCTTCATTATCGTACAAAGACATCATCTGTTCGCGAGTGCCGCCCTTAGACTCCCCCCACAGCAGTAACACTTCCATGGTGCGCGAAGACGCATTTTTCGCTGCTTCGTGGATCGGGTAGTACCCGTTGTTGCACGGACGCTTGCAATCCGCACCCAGGTCTGATAGCTGTTTAGGATTTCTTTTGTGAAAATCGATAACAATATGTATATCAATGTCATCAAGCGAATGTATCTGTTTATTGATTTTTTTTTAAGCGCAAAGAAGGAATTTTAAAAGTTTACCTTGTATATAATCATGTACGGCGGTTCAACTCCTTTTCTTGTGTAATTAGTACGATTTCAAGTTTTTAATTTCAAACACAAATATACATAGTTAAATAAAGTGGCTAAAACAATCATCTAGGATGACGGCTTGGTTGTGATTACGAGTTAACTACAAAATGTTTGTTTAAAAAAGGTTTTTTTAGTAACGAACCATTACTACGTGACCCTATTATGTCCGTTTGAAGTTATTGGGCTAAAGGTTAGAAAGAGATGAGTCATACCAAAATTCTGGCGCACAAGTCATGGTCGTGAATAGCAGCGAAGTGCAGTGCAGTGCGGCCATGCTCACCGCCGAGATCAACGTCGAACATATGCTTGTATTTTACGAACAATTGCAGTACAGTCACCTGTGACATGACATACACAAATATAAAACAGGTATTTACTACATGAAAACATTATTATAAGCATTTTACAGGTAATATTGTTTTGACTCCGCGCTTCAATATCGAAAGTGAAGTCAAGTAAGTAATCCTCACAGCTCGTATACACATTCCTCAGACACATATTGAGATCATAGTGAGCCAATCACCCGCCATTAAGCATCACGACGGCGTATATGTAATTACGTAATAAACATATAATAATGGCGACTTGTGATGTGAATTGGTGCAATAATAATAATTAATCTTAGAAAAGTGTCAAGGAATAATATATCACAGGCAAGACATCTAATACCTTTAAACGAGAAACGAGAATGAAATCGATCTAGCTAGGTGTCATTTTTAGAAAATGTCCTTTTATCCCTGTTTTTAGGGAATAAAAATATCATTCCAATATGACGGTAAATTTCGCCAAAAAAAATATTATAATAGCTCGGTCGGTAATCGGGCGGCCCCGAAACAGAAGGCCGCGGTTCGTGTCACGATCATTTACACAGTTATATTTTTTACTTTTTTCAATACCAGATCATTGCTTTCTTTATTTTTTATTTTTTTATTTCCAAAATACTTGATATACCAAAAAAAACCGAGCAAAGCTCGGTCCTCTAGGTACTGATTTATTATATTGATCATTACTCTCCGAACTCAAAACCTTAACAGATGTTTATTGATCTAATATTTACAAGATTAATTCTATCTAAAATTACATATTATCTAATAAACCTAATCCACGCAGCATGGTGCCAAGAACGCTAGCTGCTTTTCCCCGCTGAATAGTTATGCTTAACCTTTGAGCGAGAAAAGAACTAGCTCTCTTGTCACCTGCCGCGGCGTTTAGCCTAGGACATAAACTTTTAAAAAAAATTGATGTTCGGGGACGGACCTAGACAGACCCCACGGACCTATAGTTTCAGATGCATAAATAAGTGTTGTCAGAAAACAAATGGGTAATTTTTCCAAGAGATCCAGTTTAGTGTGTTCATTGTATTGTAGTATTTTGCGTCACCGTTTCAGCCTGTAAGTGTCCACTGCTGAACATAGGCCTCCTCTAGGGAATTGTATTATCAATTGTATTATTGTTTAATATTATCTTTATAGGTTTCCTACGGCAAATCAGCCATGATAGGATAATAATTATAAGAATCTGCAGAGGACCCTTGGATTTTATCGAAAATAAAATTGATATGCGCTTTAAAGTTAGGATTTTTATATCACGAAAAATTAACATGAAACGAAAGAAAACATTCGTACACATTTAAAAGAAATATTAGAAAAGTTTTTGAATATGACTATTTTTTTTAGTTTAGAATTTGCTAAACTGGAATAAAAAGAAACTAGTCGTATTAAATGTATTTCAAAAAATCATTAGCCATCAGATTTCATTTAATTATAAATTAGTATGTATAGTCAAGCCAATGAACAGCAAAAGTCAGATTTAAAAAAAAATAACTCAACGTAACGTAACACTCGTCTTATTGCAGTATTTGTTGCACTATTTTACAACAAAATAAATTGAATTACCTACCAACTGCAGCAGCGTCTTTGTTATTGTTCAAAAGAAAAGATTAATTATATTTTTTAACTATATTATTGTCATTTGAATTTAATAATGTATGTGACCTTCTTATACGTTCTTGGCAAACTAATAAAAAAATCAAAATTCATTCATCTGTATCCCTCACATAGGTCGCATGATGCTTCGATTTCGAAATGAGTGGCGCGGAGTCCTATTATTTTACTAGTCCGTGAAATCTAGTCACTAATTTAATTTGAAAAGATATTACGATAAAAGATTGGTTGAAAAAAGTCCGGGCTAAGTCTATAAAAATAGAAATAGTTTGAAATACATTATGAGTCAACTATGGAAAAAAATGTACTTTACTAATTTCTCATAACGATTTTAGCATTAATATGAAGCCCGACGTGACATGCTTACCTTATTTAATTCCGTCGCTAGGTGAATCGGCCCCTGTGATTTTTCATTCAGCGCACAGGTATCAACATTTCTGAAATTGAGCATTAACACGCATAACGCGAAATCAACGTCGTTTGAGAAAAAAATAACTCAATTTAATAGATATTAAATGAAACTACTTTACGGATTTTATTGCGTTTTTTTTTTTTGATTTAAATTCCCGACGTTTCGAACCCTTTCCAGCGTTCATGGTCACGGGACAGACTAAGTTGTTATACGTTTTTAAATAAACAACGCGATAAAATCCGTAAAGTAGTTTCATTTAATATGTATAATATTCGCGTAAAATCAAGAAAACAATATCAATTTAATAGTTTTATATATTAACAAAGAACATTAAATCGCCCAGTTTTGGTGGCTTATATCGATTGCAAATTTATGACATTCATAATAAGTGCTTAATAAATGATATTTACATCGGAACAAATTAAGCCATTATCAAATTAAGTTTAAAAGAACATTACTTTATTTTTTAATAAAATTTCTTAACAGTTTCGTTGTTACTTGAATAATATAAAAATGGGACCCACCTGATAAAATAAATTAATTGCAAATATATGTAATACTTCATGATTTTTATCTTTAATTTTTATAAAATACAATATTGTAAATAATTTATTAATTAATAAATAAACTTACTTTATGATAGATAAGAAAATATTTTAAAATATTGGGTTTGAAGTCAAACTATCAAATCGTAATCAGAATGTTAAAAACTAAACTAATGTAATGAATCATGTTTCAGGATAACTAAGTGAAATATTCTCTCTTCGCAAGTTGTTCGTTTACGTTACGTAAGAACAAAAAATTAAATCTATAAAAAAAGCAAAAATTATACGATAGAGATGGTTTATTTTATTTTGTATTTACATTGATAAGAATATAGTTGAGAATGTACTCATCGCATTTCAATTTAGCTGGAATTCAATTTCAGTGATATCTTTTAAATTTAAGTAACAATATAAAGCATTATCTTGGCAGTGAAATGTTAGAATACGTGGAATATTATATCTACCTTGGAAAACAGATCAGCTTTAAAGTAATAACGATTACATAGAAGTAGGACCTAGGTCACAAATTACTTGGAATAAATTCCGGGCACATAAAGAAATATTAAAAACAGATAAGTCTCCATCACTGAAAAAGAAAGTTATGGACTCATATATTCTTCCTTGTTTAATATACGCATACCAGTTCTGGAAATTTACTAGATCACGCTTAGAAGACGACAGATGGACATATACAGTAACCATCGGACCATACACATGATGGAAAGATGATATAAAGAAGGTAGAAGGACCACATTGGAGAAAAACTGCTAAACATTGAGAAAAGTGGAAATCGTTGGAGGATGCCTTTATCTAAAGCGGGTTCATGGACGCAATAGTACTTAGATATTTAATGTTTATTCCAGAAAAATGTACAATTGTTAATAACTGTTTTCTTTGATAGTATTATAGAAATAAAAAAATCGCATTCTAAATAAATGTACGAAAAAAACAAACATGTAACTACAACTAAACAAGAAACTTAATGTGAAATAATGTTTCAATTGCATGACATAAAAAAGACTTTTATTTTATTTTATTTCATTTATAAAGCATTTTTAGAAAATAGAAGTTATATTTCGTTAGAAATCCTGGTCATGATTCAAAAAAATGTTGATTAGTTTGACCTTAATTGGTCTTGTTGGCTTTCGCGGCAGAATGAGGAAATTTTTAAAAAGCGATAACGAATAGAATTTGATTCCTGATAGACGGCGCTGCATGGAATAAAAAGAAAAAACTCACGATGATTAATAACACTAGAAAAGACAAAATAACAAATAAGGAAGTAAAAAAAGAAAACATTCCACTAAAATAGCAGAGCTAGTAGTATTTTTCACATAACATGAATTCATATTTTCTCTGATCACCGCTGATGGTAAGATGCCATTACGTCATCGATAGCCTTGTCAAGGACTAGTAAAGTTATATTAATATTTTACTTATTACAACCCGAATCTTTCAAAGTATTTTATGTATGTTAGCTGTGATCGAATTTTTAATGTCCTTGGTAATCGAAGAAATATGTATATCAGCCATTAGTTTTTTTACAATGAATAAAGATATTAATAAAAATAAATGTAGTTCATTTTAACGTTATATGAACAAGACTAAAACTACTGAAGTCAGATTAAAGGAAGCATTAGTAAAGCTGATATTGGTATTGAAATTGAAATTACATTATGCCTTGATATTACCTGTGTGCAAGGATTACACTTCGATGGCTTTTAGCCACCGTTTCACCCATTCTTCTCGCAATATAAACCCAAGATGAATTAAATAAAATAGTATAGGCGCACAAAATTCCATGGTCGCGTCAGTGGATAATTAATCGTCACGAAAAACCACCATGACGCTTGCATCACTCATGCATCACAGGATTGCTTTATATAGTAGAAAGAGTAATATAATAGAAAGAGATAAATATTACTCTTGATTAAATGGTAAATATGTTATGTACTTTAATTGTTAAAAAAAAAACGAATTAAAAAAAACGAAAAGATTGAATCATCTTAAAGTAAAGTGTGATAAATTTTGCGCTACCTTATGCAGACATTAATACAATTATTATCAATTGTATTAAAGTATTTAAATAGGATTCAGCCAGACGTGGGACTTCGGCAGAGGATTCAAATGTAGATGTTAAATATGGTTCTGACCGATATTATCAAATTCACAGAGATGATTATCGAATAATTTTGATCGGTTTTCCAGATATCGGTCACCTCGTGGGCAGATTCCAATTATTTTGTTATTCTATTCCAATTCTACCCGTCTAAAATTATCCTTAACAGTAACCGATTCATCAACACGATATCTGGCTTCTTTGCAAGAATCGTTCACTATCCCGTTTATGGCCCGAATAATACTTATGATTATTATTTTTAATTTATATAATTAAGTTGTTATCTATTATAGTAGTATTATTCAGTGTTTTTTAATTTTCTCTAATCGTTAGTAACATTAACAAAGATTTTTGTGTTACTTTTGAAATAATAGTGTCATAAGTATAATTAAAATTTGAAATAATTGAGCTGTGTTATCCTTTCCATATTCACCAAAACCACTCAGCAGCGTTATTGTTTTCATACTCCATTAGAAATCGCGCGTAAGCAATCTCCGGGAATAATTTCATTTGAATTCCTGAAGAGTACTTAAAACCAAGGACCTCAAGAATTAACACATGCCATGAATTAAAATTACGTAGAAAACCACTAGATTACTTGAGATATTTCGCAGATGCGAAATAACAACAGATTTCAGGTAAATTCATTTTTATCTAAAAACATTTAGAATTTCTTACAAGTGAGAACACATAAAATAAAGAGGAAGAAATGGATCGTAATATTTGTAAATGTTTTCATTCGACTTTCAAAAATTAATAACAATATCAGTTATTTATTCAAGTTTAAATATTATAAGTGAATTTAACAGGCATTCTTCAAAATTTTCTAACGTTGAATTCTGACAGCGTTCTGTTTTCAGTATAATTTTATGTTCGAATACAGAAAGCTGTGTTCGGATTTAGCTTCTTTGACAGGTGGTGTAAGAATTTTGGGAAGATAGAAGGACTACTACTACAGACCATGGGAATATAATACAAGTTGCCAATTTTATGTCACTGAATAATAAACAGATTCTTCTATTGAAATCTTAATTGATTGAACTACACATGACCAATTAAATATAATAAAACTCTTGTAAGTATTTGAAAAAAAGAACGAATAAGTGTTTAATATTCAGTGTTCTCTACATTAATTTCAATAATTTACTTTAAAACATTAAGTACATACAAAAGAGAAATTCATAAAAGTATTGAAATGCGTATTTTTAGATGTTTCTTCGAGTGATAGCATTTTGTATCTTTTTTTGTTAATTTTAAGAAATATTTAAGTTAAGAACATACTGTTTTAATGTAAAAGTTACGTACAACATGTGCATTGAAAAATAAATTTAGAAAGTATTTAAAATAAATTGATCAGCGGCGGCACGTTTAAAGTTCTGATAGGTATTTGAAAGAGGTAATAGAAAAAATGTAAAGATAAATTTACAGAAATATTCAGCAAACAAATGTTAATAAAAAAAAGTGTGATATTACATTTAGTGGTCTATTGTTTATGATTTTTACGGTGTTAAACGGAGGTATGGTTATGTACAATAAAATTAATAAAAACCCCTTAATTCGTAATCTGTATTAAATAATAATTTATTACTTACTGCTGCAGAAGAAATTCAATGGCATCTAGCGCTTCATTTTCAACTGCCAGATGTAATGGAGTATTGCCTGCATTGTCTCGGGCACCCAAATCTATATGTGACAATATGAAGATCAATTTTTGTTTATCTAATATTTATAAGATTAAATCTATCTAAAATTACATATTATCTAATAATGGATCACGTTTAACGCCGCGGCATGGTGCCAAGATCGCTAGCTGCATTTCCTCGCTTAACTTTTGAGCGAGAAAAGAACCAGCTCTCTTGTCATTCTGGGATTAAACGATCAAATTTAATCAAGGTTTAGTAAAGGTTTAGATCTCACACAAATAAAATGAATGCCGTAAACGTGTAAACGTAAATTGGGTTACCTCTCTTCAATTTTAAACTTGGCAAAGAGACTGGAGTTCGTTTATTGATATTTTATATTTATGTATTTAATAGCTGTTAGTTTAATTTGTTTAAATAAACGATCAAAAATAAGGAAGAACGAAATATTGCTATCACTGTACTGATCCGTTTGAGAGCGTAGGCGTTTCCTTTTTTCCAATCCGACACGTTTCGGTGATACACCTGCAACGTACTGGAATAGAAAATTGAAATCGAACTCGTTATATTTGCACATGAAAAACTTTTACACTCGTTAGTGGCGCAAATATTAAAACTCAGATGACGAAATGGAAATATGATCTTATTTCTTTGCTGGATCAGTTATGAAACTAGGTTCGTGTAGGTATGTATGATGGTTACGTGAAAAATGTACTAAATGTATATTTTTATATTTTTTTCCCTGACAAATTTACGTTTTATTGTATGACAGGGAGGAAAAATGGATATTTCAATTAAAATGGATTACCCAAATAATAAAAAAAAATATGGATCTAATATTTACATAATTAAAATATTATTTAAATTATAATTAATAAAGTGTTTTAGCGTATCATACAATGACTACTTAATGTCAGGCTTTCAGTGTTATCTGAAACTTTCTACTACTCTTATCGCATCTACGTGGTGTTGGCACAAGATGTAAGTCATGTTGTTATGGAATGCTTGAGGTAAACCTTTACTTTTTTATTTTTTTTATTTACATTGCCCTCACTTCAGGATAACATTATCCTGTGTTGTAAGGACGTTTTTACAAATATAAATTTCACGCGGACAAACACCCAGATGCGAAAAAACTATCGGTAGGTCGCACAAATAGTTGTTTCGTGTGGGAATCGAACCCAAGACCGCCTGACGCCGAAGCCTTGGCAACTGCGCCACGGAGTCATCTTGGAAACAAACATCCAGATCCAGAGCAATTATTTGTGAGTCACATATTTTCCCATGTGAAATCTAAACCCACGTCCTCCGGCGCCGTAACTAAAAACTAGGACATTAAGACAGCATTTGCACCAGCGCGATCTCAATGTCATAACTGATTTAATAATAAAATAGCTATTTCAGAATCAGCAACTAATGTCTTAAAATTACCCATGACCATACCATACATAAGTATTATATGTATGTATGTAGTTATAAATACTTCACAGAAGACCCCATCCGAATGATAGCAACCATTTGCTCGTAATAAATCGTTATAATGGTGTCTGATATTCTGTTAGGCCACAAGGCTTTCCAAATTTTTTCATTCAAAATTTTCCCGTTTCAGATATTCTAACGAAGGAAGGTTGAACTGCAATCTATGCGTCGTCAGTCATTGTTATCAACATTTTTTTGTGCCGCTGCAAGGATTTGGACTAATTATTTAAATATGGTGATGTACAACAATTTGGATACAAGTAAAATGACATTTAAAACATTCGAAAACGGCCTTCTAACGATGTTTTAAGGGGGTTATAAGTCTACAAGTTATGTAGATCTAATCATAAACGGTAGCAAAAAGATTTTTAAAAATATTGTGTAACTATGGATAAACTACTTAAAATTATATAGTAAAAAAAGATTTTCGTACTCGTGTTGGCTCCATCATTATTATTAAAAGCAGCTTATTAAAATAGTTGGCACAGTGTGTGTCTATAAGAATTATAGAAGTCTGTTATTTAAATTAACGATGAAACAAAATGGACAATTATAATCATATTTAGGTACTATTTCTTTAACTCATGTGCATAAAAACGTAATAAAATAGTAGCTTTTTATAACTTAAATATTGTAAAATCATCCACATATCGATAGCATTTTACGGCTAGTACGGTTGAAATCAACATATATTTAGAGTCTTACGTTCTTGGTCTCTACCGTTTACTGTACAATGATGCAAGGTTATATAAAGTTTAGTAACAAAGGCTAGTCTATGAATAAGATGTAAAGTGCTAAGTTTTCGAACAGAGTTTTTCAATTATATTTCTCATGTAACCTCAAAGTTATCCGTCACGATAACACTACTGGAAAACCGGCGTGAAGTGGAAGAGATATAATTCTGCGTTTCGTCTGGGGAGTGAGTTAACCGGGTTGCAAATGTCCTTGTTCGGCGGCACTTAACAACAGAGGAACCACTTGCACAATGTTTTAAAAGGACATCCAGGATTATCTAAAACTATTATAGAGATTCCGTTAGTAAAAGTAAAAAATAACAAATAATAGAAATAAAAAAGAATAAGAAGATAAGTTCGGTATATCACACGACATATATTAACGTATATACGTGCCATATTTCTGTAGTATATTAACCTCTAACACATAGATACAGGAATGTTTGTGTGTTCGTTTCCTCTGTTTGGACATCGTTAATCAGATAGAGAGCTGTTTTTATAAGCATTCGCGTCAATGTCGCTGAAATGTTACTACAATCAATGAACAATAGAGTAAACTTGTGTAAATAAATGGGTATGTTGTTTGTGAACTTTTCGACAATAATTATCCTCGAATCAGAATGCTAACAGCCCAAGTCGAGGTCCCCTCTCAGGGACCCTTGAGCCTAGTCACTCCATGGAGCGTCCGCCAAAGCCCCCTTAGAGATCAGCGGCCTCCCAAACCGGTAGTAATAATAGCGTGACGGCGCGAGCTGAGTCTCTCTCGGGAGCCCTCGAGCTTAGTCACCATAACGCGTAATAATAATACGCCGAGGTTCAGGCTAGGCGCCCCGAGCGCCCAGCCACCTCAAGTCCGGCGAAACTCTAAAGGCCCCTAAGGCCAACAGTGTCTCATCAAGCCAAAAAAAGACAATAATAATGTCCCAGTCACATTACACGAGGCTAATCGTGAATATCATAATGAGTACTTACTGCCCCCGTAGTTGTGGATGTAGAGGAGGATGTTGGTGTTATTCTTGGCCGCAGCTTGGTGGGCCGCCGTTCGACCTCGGGGGTCAGAAACGCTGAGACGAGACGGCTCGCTGAGGTAGAGCCGCATAAAATCTTCCATGTTGCCACTCTCTGCGGCCTACGCACAAAGAACATTGAAAATTCCATTTAACATTTACTGTATACAAAGATTAAGTAGTTATTACTAACATCGTTAATTTGCGAGGATTATTTTTTAGGATTAATTTCTTGCGAGTTAACCCTTTCACGCCCAAGGGAAATATTTTTCCCTTCTACAAAAATGATTATCGATTGTTCAATTATTATTGAATTGATATTTTTTTTACTAAATGTCAAAGTAAAACGTATGTCCAAGGCGGCAAATGTGTTTCTGAATGAAATAAACAAAAAATAACTGTCAAACTTTATTGCGCCAAAACCAAAACATTCGCGGGCTGAATTAATAATATCTAGGAAGTGTTTTGGACTTGAGCAAATAAAATAACTTTATTTTGTCTCGTGTTTTACATTATTTGGTAAGTATTATTTTATGTAATAATACAGTAAACTGCAGAACATTAGCACAAGTACCTGAAAATTGCAAATCATCTAAAGGGAAATATTTTTCCCTCTGGTCCATATCTGGTGTATTCGTTGTATTATTATTATATGTAGTGCTTTATGATAATGTAGGGATTTCTTGTATTTTCTTGTATTTTATACAGTTTACCTTCATGGTTTTTTACAGAAAAGACTAAAAGTGCAGAGAATTTCATATTCAAGATGAAGAACTATTGCTTATGGCGATAGTAGTGACGGAGAAGATAACTTACTACAGACTACAGTTAGACGAAGAAGACCAGCAGTTCATAGCTCAAGATGTAGAAAATGGAACCGATGTTGTTGAAACCCGAGGTCTAATATTTTTTTTATGGGAAGAAAGCGGCAAACGAGCAGGAGGCTCACCTGATGGTAAGTGATCACCGCCGCCCATGGACACCTGCAACACTAGAGGGTTTACAAATGTGTTGCAAGCCTTTTAGGAAAGAGTATGCTCTCTTTTTGACACACCGGCGACAGCTGGTTCCACAGAGCGGTTGTACGAGGCAGGAAATGCCTTGAAAATCTCGCTGTTGAGGAACGCTGGAAATCGAGGTGGTGTGGATGAAATTTTTGGTTTTTGTCCGATGGTGAAATTCGGCCGCCAGAATCAATCCAAACAATTCTTCGGAACACTCCCCGTGATAGGTGTGGTAGAAGATGCAGAATGATCCAACATGTCTACGCAGAACCAAAGTATGAAGTCGATCGGAAAGACTTTGATCGTCGATAACCCAAGCTGCCCTACGTTGGATGTGGTCAAATGGAAGAAGTTGGTAATAGGCGGCTCCCGCCCAGAGGTGACAACAGTACTCCATGTGGGGCCGAATTTGCGCCTTATAAAGGTTTAGGCGTTGCGCCGACGTGATGTCTCGCCTTACTGAGCAACCCTCCCTACTTTGAAGCCAATGTGGTCTTACTTTCCAATTGACCCCGGAACTGGACATTGCTCGAGATTTCGACGCCAAGTATTCCGATATTTTACATGTAGACAGCAAACAAGAATCACTTAAGTCTCCTCTGAAAAGCTCCGCATTGGAAATAAACTGAAGCGATACGTAAACTGTGCAAAACGACGTATAGAAAATAGGAGACATAATAAATGTGTTATGTGCAATGAACACTTGTGCTTCACAAGTAAACGAAATTGTTTCGTAGAATACCATAACTAACTATTTATTTTACTTTTCTGATAATTTTTACTGTGTTTTTTTTTGTATTACAAAGCAATAAATAAAATACCGATAAAATAAACCTTACTCTTTATTTATTTACTTTTATGGTCCATAGGGAAAAAATATTTCCCATGAAATTATAGGAAACCTATACATCCTTCTATGTTTTTCTGGAGATATCCTCTTACTTTATACCCACAATAGCTCAAATATTGTGTTGTATCGGCATATTTAGTCTTGGACATCTTATGGTCCTGTAAGGGTTAAGTAAAAGTAAACTAGTAAAGTAAAGTATCACTCTATATATGTCCTATAGCTTACTTCTCTGTACAGAGGGTATCAGGGCCTAGTCTACCACGCGGGCCCACTGCGGATTGGCAGACTTCACATATCTTCGAAATATTTTTTTGTTATTATTTCGAAAATATGCTTTCCGGTTTCCTCGAGATGTTTTCCTTCACCACTGAGCGCTTGATAAACGTAATATATACGATATAGCTAGGTTTCAGTTTTAGAAAATGTATATTATTATATTTTTATATGTCATTATAATGAGGAAAAATATCACTCGAAAATAACGGTAAATTTCACAAAAATGTTATAAATGCTATAATAACACTATTTACAAAAAAACAAACCGGTCCTCCAGGTACTATTATATATACTCGTAATGATGTATATTATATTTTATATATATATATATATATATATATATATATATATATATATATATATATATATATATATATATATTACAATTAGTTATTCCGTCTATGGCTGTCTCGACGACAAACAGAAAACCTTAAATAATTTCTCAATATTCTAAGAAGAAGGGGACGGAAAACAAAGAATACGGCAATTACGTTCGTTGAGGGAGTGTTTTTATTCGTTCCACGTAAGTATTGGGCGAATCTGCGGGCTATTAAGACCAAACATTTCTACCGATCCTGCACCAATCCAGTATTATTAACGCTATTGTCGTTGTTACGATAACGATTAAATAAAAGAAAATTCATTTTAAGTTCGGGAGTTCCGAAAAGGATGCTTTCATAATTAACGTCATTAATTTGTCATAATATGATAAAATGTTTAATTAACTATATGATTAAATAATGAAATTCAAAAGACTCCATCTTATTGTATACAATTATATAACTTTAAATGAGAAATCTATGTTTTTATTTATAATAATGTGCAAATTTCAAATATGTTAATAAAAAAAAATGATAGAAAAAAAAAGGTTAATCGAGAAAAACAGAACCAAAAAAGTAACAGCACGGAAAAACAAAACAGAACGATCTCATCAAAAATGAAGAGTCCTGTTTATTTGGTGTTTTTTCTTATCTAAGAATTATATTAAATATCTTATTATCTAACAATCTAATCGCAGGCCGTAATAACTATGTAGCCTGTTTCTTAGAGATAGTCTGATCTTTAATATGTTATGTAGTGAAATAGTTCGCCATAAATAGCAAGCCTTTGAAAACTCTTTGCTGTATCTTCAATATTGTAATAAGTCGCAGGCACCGTCTTTATATACGCGGCACAATAGCGCTCTTATTTAAAATACAATCTTGTCATCCTTGATACTATAAGGTATTCCGTTTAGTCTTATCTTTACCTCCGATGATTACGTGGATGTAAAATTTGTTTAAGGAAAAAATCATCATTGTATTCAAAAATCCTTCTCCTTCTTTTTAAAAACGGAGGGATTACAATAATGATATGATACAGGATTCTAATAATTTACTTTTATTGATGAATGTTTTTCAAGAAAATTTGCTATTCGGTAACTGATACCGATAAGCTTGTCAAGAAATAGGAAAATTGGAGCTTTAATGAAGAATACACCAACTGTTTGTAATATAAGCTTAAGAAAGTTCTTTATTTATAAATCTCAGAACTGAAAGTTATTGTACATAATTAACATAAATATTATTTTATATATAATATTTATGTTAATTATGACATAAATTATTGTACATAAAATAACCGTCCAGAAATAAATATGTTACAGTTATTAATAACGCAGTATATTATAGCACAAAGCAGTTAAAAAAGAGCACGTTTAGTTTTTTGAGAATAAGGTAAGTATTTCAAATTTTTAATAATAAACTTAAAATAAAAATAGATTTCGACACATAGCAACGTTAATGTTCCTATTTAACAATGAAACAATGCAACTATTAATTTAACGGAAAAATGTACTACGGCAAGAATTCTACACAACCGCTGCATGCATCACGAACTGAAGGTTGGTTCCACGTGGAACGACGGGTCCCAGAATCTGAACAAATAATTCTTTGCTCGCATGCGGATCAAGTCGTCAAAACAAAAGTCTGGAGTCAAGATGATCATTTATTTCTCGAATGATCTAATTGTTTTATGTACTATTTTAACGTACATAACCACTTTCGCTAATTTATGTGGAGGTTATGTTTTCGTTGAACAAACTAAAGTTTAATAATGAATTGATAATAATTTTGATTTATATGCTTTTGTTCAACTCTGAGTCCCAACCAAGAAAGATTTTGAAGAAGAAATAAAGAATAAGAAAATAAGTATTTTCTTACAATCTCTTTTGAAATCGTTTATTTTTTAATATTTAAGTATTGTAGTAAGCAGACTGTGCTTCAGTAATTACATAAAAAAATTAATGTATCATGATTTTGTAACGGACCCTGAAGGATATCAACGACTTATCGGATAAGTTAAGCGTGTCCATGCTAATTTCACTGTCTAAAAATTTATAACCTTACGAATATTGATGATGTCTGACTAACGTCTTGAGTCTAACTTCTAGATAACTATTCTAATAGAAAGTTAGATCAAAGCCTATCCTCATTAAAATTTTGCTGTGATATTGATAAAATATTCTTTTACAAATGTGACGAAATTTACGCCAATAATTTTCGAGATACTCGAAATGACAATATATTCTCGCGATACACATGATATTATCGCGTTTGTAATAATTAATAAATGATTGCTTACTTATCGAAGACAAAAACTGTTCGTAATTGCTTTGGTAATAGACTGGACCTCAATTCAATACCATCAACATGTCGAATGAAAAAGAGGCCAGGCTAGAAATAATTCTGTATCCAACAAGTAAAACAGAACGTATCACACGTACGAGTATACATGTTGATATCAACTTAATGAAGGCTTATCGTGAATGTTCCATTTGGCTCGAAGTGACAATTAAGCGAACAATTTTCTAGCTACTGTTTCCACTTGGCCAGAGGTGGCAAATCGTTTTACATTTTAGTTATGGTCTATTTTCAGGTCTTTATACTGGTACCATAATATACATATAGGTTGAAATTGCTAATATTGAACAAATTGATAAACACGTTTTGTC